AAAACTTTAAAAGACAGGCATAGCATTACATAAAAATGGCATTACAGATTTATTGTCTGACAGGTTAAAATACAAATGCACTTATAATAAAGCAGTTTAAAAGCTACTCCCATTGTCATGGCCATGTTTCCATCCTCAACTTGAAAGTGCACATTTCCACGCCCTGTATTGCGTGAACAGATGATCAGTCAGTGGGAAAGAGCATAGCCAGCCTCCTGAGTACACAAGTTCCATCTTCCTTGTTGCCACAATCTTCCAGAACACTCTGCAAGCCTCTTCTGGTTTGCACATTTTGATTTCTATTTCCAAGTCCAGGCCTTGGGACACATTTCTGGCATCCTACTCCATACATATTAAAGTTGAGTAGGACAAGAGAATTCCATTCCTAAACATGAAATTGGTAGAACATAAATTTAACTAGCATGGGAGCCTCTGCTGACTGCAGGTTCTGCCCTCACCTGAGTTCTTCCTGTTGCTGTCTCCCACAGCACAGGCAGCCATCTTGCTCAGGACCCACCCCGCACAGAGCTCAGCACAGAGGGCAAAGGTGGCCTCTGGACACTTCCAACATGAACTGGGGCTGTTTGTGCTGCTGAGAAAACTCTCCCATGGACCCCAGTATCCAGTGACAGCTGTGGAGGGAATGAGGTCTGCTAGCATACTTTGTCACATTCCACTCTTTTGGATTCTCACAATATGAGTGCAAGACACCAGCATTGTGACACACTTTGGTTGTAGATAGGCCTTATTGATCATTAACATTTGCATCAAACAAGTAATGAAAGCAAAATCAAGTTTACAGCAGTAAACAGATGATTATCAGTGGAAATGGACAAAAGATACCTCAGACATACATCTCTGATGATACTGTAAGTAACTATAGCATTTGGGAGAGTGCAATCATGCAGGATGTGACAATAAACATAGGCTATGACTCAGCTATTCACTTTTGGAAACAGCTCCAAGGAGATAGGACAAAGGTCCAAAAAGAAAATTTTGTACAAAGATGTTTGCTGCACTCTCTCTATACTAGGGAGATATTTAAAATAGTCTATCAACTAGCCAGGAGGGCAACACATGCCTGTAATCCCAAGCGGCTTGGGAGGCTGAGGCAGGACAATTTTGAGTTCAAGGACAGCCTTGGCAACTGAGCGAGGCCCTAAGCAACTCAGTGAGACCCTGTCTCTAAATAAAATATGAAAAGGGCTAAGGATGTGGCTCAGTGGTTAAGCGCCTCTGGGTTCAATCCCTGGTACCAATTTAATAATAATAATCCTATCAACTAAGTAAGTCCTTAACAAACCATAATATGAAGGTACAAAGCAGAAGTATGGATGACCCTTCAAAATGCTACAAACTATATTCATGCATGCATTTTATATATAAAATAATAAATGAAAGTAAAGGTAGAATACAATAGATTCAATATATACTTGCACACAGATGAAAATGTATACAGGTGTACATATATCATGCCACGAGTGAATCAGGAATGGTGTAAATAATTGGTATTTAAAGTTCTCGGAATTTTTAATATTAAGACCAAGACAAGCTTCAACTTGAGAGAGGGGAAGTGGGGGAAGAGATCTAGAGGTATCTGTGGATGCTTGAGTGACACCCAGGAGAACCCTACGAGTCTCAAAGGCAGAGGCTAGGCAGGACAGGGTTCTCATCCTCGACACTGCCGTCATTTGGGGCCCAACATGGTAGGATGATTACCAGCACTGCTGGCTTCTATCCACTAGATGCCAGCAGCACCCTCCTACTCCTGACAAACAAAATTACCTCCAGGAAGTCTAAGAGTGGAGATTGAGAGGCCAAATCACAGTTAAGGACTGGTGAGAATGATAAACAGACACCAACTCTCCACCTCAGCTGTGGCCAGGAGGCGGGAAGCGATAAGGATTGGGGGAGCCAGAGATTGTATGCCCTTCTAAAGCAGCCAGTCCCTATTCACCTGGAGATCCTGAATGACAAATCCTGACTTTTTTTTTTAAGATTCACAGCTAACTCAAAGTTAAAACATAATGCATCCAGAGCCTCACATGCATCAGCTACAGCAGGCTTCCACGTACTTTCTGCAAGGGCCAGATGGTGAGCATCACAGGCTCTGCAGGCACAACCGTCTCATTTGCCTTGACAGGGAGAAGCAGCCACAGATGATGAATGGACAATGAGTAAGGCTGGGTTCCAATGAAGCTTTATTTATGTGCACTGAAACTTTAATTTCATATGTTTTCACTTCATGAAACATTCTTTGATTTTGTTTTCAACTGTCTAAAATGCCAGTACCATTATCAGCTGATAGTCCCACCAAAACAAGGCTAGGATTTGGCTCAAGGGCCATGGTTTGATACCCCCTGGGTGGTAGTGTGCCCGCAGCAGTACCAGCAACTAAAGGCATCCTGGAAAGGAGGACAGGTCAGCCCTGGGTGGCCAGACACCCCAGCACACAGGGAGGAACAGCAGGCCCCAGAGGGGCCTATGCTAGGGCTACTTTCTCAACTCTTCCCCTCTTGCCTCTTCCAAAAGCCCCATACAGTATCTCCACTTTGCTGCCTCCAGTACCAGAAGGAAGGCTTCATTGTAAAAAAGTAAATAAATAACACAGATTGGTTTCTCTGAATTTTCTTGACTTTTTAAAGTATTATTGTAAAAAAGAGGACACCACTGGGCACCAACCCAATTGTTCTGCAGGGTTTCCAGAGTCCTAGAAAACTCTTTTAAGAGGGATTTTGTCTGTTTTTAATGACTTTGCTAAAATGCAAGTCTCCTTGTTTGTGTCCTCCCAATGCCTCTTTGACAGAAAACACAGATGGCCTTTCTCTAATCAGCAGAAGCAGGATTCTGGGAGTGGGGAGACTTGGGGACTTGATCCAGAAGAAGAAGCCACCAGTGGTTTCTGAGCTTGAAGGCCTGGCCCTGAGTCTGCGCTGGAGAGCTGAGTGAGCAGCCCCCTGGACTGGCTTCAGTGAGGCCACCTTGGGTCTACCTAGAGCAAAGCAGAGAGCCTCAGCTCCCTACCCCTGGAAGGCAACGAAAGTAAACAGGGCAGATGATGGAGGGAGGCTGATGGGAATGGAGAGGAAAGAAAAGAAAAAAAACAAGAAAATAAAGAGGAAGAGTTGAAATGATGCTCTGGGAGTAGGGGGAAGAAGCAAAAGACAGGAGGCCAGAAGTGAGAAAAGGGAAGAAGAAATGAGACAGAGGAAGGGCTGGGCGCATCTGCAAACTACCAAGTCAGCCTCAGTGACTAAGAAGGTGTGGGCAGAAAGCAATATTTTCATCTTGGAATCCAGTCACTGGAGCCATTTGGGATCCTTCTCACTCCCTAGCCATCAAATTATTGAATGTTCAGATTCAAAAGCCTCATCAGGTGCATGCCTGTAAACCCAGTGGCTTGGGAGGCTAAGAAAGGAGGTTCGCAAGTTCAAAGCCAACTTCAGCAACGGCGAGGCACTAAGCAACTCAGTGAGACCCTGTGTCTAAATAAAAGACAAAATAGGGTTGGGGATAAGGCTCAGTGGTTGAGTGCCTCTGAGTTCAATCCCCAGTATTTATTAAAAAAAAAAAAAAAAAAGCCTCACCAGATATAAGACAGACAAGATGGTGAGGTTCGAGGCTCTCCACCCCCACACACCTCCCACAGGATCTCACTGAGTTGTTTAGGGCCTTGTTAAATTGCTGAGTCTGACTTTGAACTCACAATCTTCCTGCCTCAGCCTCCTGAGCCACTGGGATTACAGGCATGCAGGTACCCCTTTTGTTTGGCTTCTTTCTCCTCCCAGGCTTGAAAGCAGGATGAAGGGGTAAGGGAGTGAGCTAGAGGCCAACAGTCTCATGCCCCAATGCCTGCTTCGTGCTTCTCTCACTCACAGGTTTACCAGCAGTCACTGTTCTGAAAACTAGGCCTGAAAAGCCCTGGGACTGGGTCTGCAGCCACCTTAGTCCTCATGAGGATTCTCATTTGAACATAATGAGGAGGGAGACAGGGTTGGGAGAGCAGCCACACCTTCCTGTGCCCATGGTAAGAATGCAGCTGAGGACAGTAGCAGGTGACTCCACAGGGACAGGAGGAGATACAGGCACAAACATAAAACCAACAACAAAACCATGGCTAGAAAAATACATGATCCCAGAGGATTCCACTGAGTGGCTACCTACCCCATTGTGTTCCATTTGAGAGTGTTCCATTGAACACTCTCAGCATCACTCCCAGAGAGGACCTGGAAGGTCAAAGTCCCAACTGTGACCGAATTACAAACCCAGAGGAACTCAGAAGTCACCATATTGGCCCACCAGATTTGAAATGTCGTGCACTAGCAATTAATTTTAGTTATAGGAAAGTAAAGCAATATTTTTGCACCTAAGTTGGAAGCCTGTGAAGTTCATATCTGCAACACAAGTACTAACTTCTAGAAGTCTCTTTGAAAAAATACTATCAGCCTTTCTGGCTGAAAATGCTGGGTTCATGGCCCTTTAGGCTGCTCAGTCATTTCCTGACCATCCCTGTATCCCAGGCGACATGCCCTTTTCCCCCACCATGCAGGCCGCAGTCTCAGCAAGGAATCCCGACTCAGCACTTTCACCAAAGGCTGCACTAATTGTCACGAGCTCTGTGCTTCGCTGGAGCAAAGGAGAAGTCCTTGTGATGGAATTGCATTGCATGTACCAAGGTCTTGCTCAGCCCCTGCTGGGAAGAGGACTTTCAAGGGTGTGCTCAGTAAGCATTCCTGGGCTCTGAACCAGTGTGAGGAGTCAGTATCCCTTTACAAAAATCACTCAATGTTGGGTACCTTTTTACTCCCAGGCATGGGAGCAAGATGGAAGGGCAGCAGAAGCTGGAAAATGGCCTGTAGGCTGGGACAAGACTTCTGCTCCTTTGCTCCAGCAAAGGTAAAGGGGTCAGGATATGGTTTGGTGACAGAGTGCTTGCCTAACAAGTTGAGGCCATGTGTTCAATAAAATAACCAATACAAAAAAAAAAAAAACCAGGGTGAAAAGTTCTGGGTGGGATGTTGCTATACACACTTGAAATTTAGCAAGGACTATGAGGAGGCTCAGGCACACCATTAGAAAATTCTACTCCATTTCTATGCCTCTGTGTTGAGAAGAGTAAGATATTAGGGCTACGTGGGAAGAATAGAACACAGGTTCCCACCAGACCACCAAGCACCAACCAAAAACAATCTTCTGGCACAGTCCCTCTGGGAACTATAAGGGATAGCCCTATAGCAAAGGCTGTGACCATGACTCAATTCCTAGGGAGACCAGATGTCCACCTAAGAAGTCTTTTGAGTTCAGAACCTGGGTCTTCATTTTTAGTCCATGTGTCGAGGAGTCCTTCAGTGGAGCTTATTACCTGAACAAAAGAAAATAACTTCTTTTCCTCTACAAAGCACTCAGGCCTACCATGTCTCTTCTTCTCCCCAGCACAAGTTCACACCTGTGCCAGGCAAGCCCAACTATTAGCTCAGGGCAGGGGGAATTTCTTCAATCCAGGCAGAATGCAGAAGGGGCCAAAGAAGCGCTTCTTGCCAAGTCTTGATATCTTCTCTAGGCCAGGTCATCCACACTGAGTTTGAGGGTCTCCTACCATGGTGGCCTTTAGACTTTTGTCTTGGTTTCGTCTGGAAGTTTTTCATGCACAAGAAATTCTCTGGTTGTTACTGAATTTTTCAAATATGGGTTTAATGCTCCTTCCTCATAGAAATAGTCTGGTCCTAAACTTTCACCAGAAGAGAGAAGTTGCTCTTCAACTTTTGAAGAGTTATCTTCTGAGATTTGGGGTGTTCTGGAAGGAATCTCAGTTAAAAACTGCGAACTCTTTTCTGGAGGACAGTCAGGCCTGTTGGGGGAGGCTACATACTCATTCTTTTCTCCTCCCCAAATGTTTTCCTGACCCTTTTTAGCTTCTTCTATGGACACCTCTTCCAAAAAATTCTCAAAGTTCACCATCAACTTGTCAATGAGGTCACTGGGAACACAATATGATTTTAGGATGCTCTCTTCTGTGTTCACAGAGTCATCAAATTCCTTAAGATTTGGCTTATTCTGGAAAAGAAAAAGGGACATACCCCTCATTGAACTTGGGTCACCAAAGTCCCAACCCCTCAAACAGCATTCCACCTTCCTCCCTGGCTCAGAAGTGATGGCCAACCATGTGAGCTTGGCAAGAGTGAAGCAACAGCTCCTGAGAAACAGCACCTTGTATTCAAAGAAGTCTTCCAGAGAGCTCAAGGCTATTTTCCACACAATGTTCACAAAATCCCAGGCAAGATGGGAGTACCAAATTTAGAGCTTTTGGAGATGGAAAAACTATATCCCTGACAGTCCTGCCCAATACCACCAGAAAAATCAAAGGTGGTCTCACTGCAGGGATGTGTCCTTATCATCTTGTATCCCCAGGATCTCGCCCAGGCCTGATACTCAGTAGGCCATTAATCAGTGCTTGCTGAGAGCTGACTTGCAGATTATTCAAAAAGCACTTCAGTCATCACACCACACTGCCTATGAATTCATTTATTCTCTAGATAACTTTCAATAAGTGGAAAAGTGAAGAGGGTGACTTAAGACTGAAGAGGGAGAAAATAGAAATTCATTTTCACCAAAAATGCCCATGCCACAGAAGACTTCTGAGATGAAATAAGGGCTAATATTTGTAATGCCTGTAACAAGGAAAAACTGGTAATAGTCTTTCCACAATAAAGTTTTAAAGGTTATTATATTTGATGGGGCCTATTCCTACTTAAGCAAGAAATTATACCTTAGAAATTTCATAAAAATTTTCAATATAAAAACTTAGAAACAGGAGGGTTTCTACTTAAAGAAAGTATACTAGAAAACTCTAACCCCCAATTACATAAAGTGACTCTAATTTTCTCAGTCTGAGAAAAATGATTTGAGGCAGCCTTTGGATTGCCATGATTGTCACATCCCCTCAGTGTCTCTAGGTGGTCCCTAGATTAATTTGTTCTTGTCTGCTTTTTAAATGACCTCAAATCTTATAGCGAAGCTACCTCCTACTCCTCCCTCTCCTCCCCCTCCTTTTTTCTCTTTCTTTACTTCTCTCTCTCTCTCTTTCATTAGACTATCAAGTCATTGAGGATAGGGTTGGGGTCTTTCTTCAGGACCAAGCTTTACAAGACCAGCCCCATGCTGAGAACACACTGGATCCTTGCTAATAAGTCCTTTCCTCTTGTGCAGAGTACAAGGTCAAAGTCATTCCAGGAAGGCTAATTCCATCTGCCCTACCAGATGTTCCCTGGAACTTTCCAACCTTGAGTTCTCTCTATATGAACCCTAAATAAAAGCCCAGCTCACGACTTCCCCACAGCTCCACTCATCTGGTCACTTCCCACACCAGCCCACAATGACTTCCTGAACAGAAACAGTGGTGTTGTTTGTTTACCTTGCAGTCATTTCCGTGCCACTTGGCTATACTACTTTCAGCAGGGTTGGGGACAATGGGCCAACACAGGTGAGTCAACTTGCTAATGAGAGATAAGAAAAAAGAAAAGAAAAACCAAACAGGAGGTAAGTTCACAAAGTGTCTTACACATGCTGCATGGCTGAGGCAGAACAGTGAGGTTTGCTAAAGAGTACTGCATGGCTCCCCACTAACTAACTAAGGGCAAGCTGCTGGTCTCCTGGCAGAGATGGGGAAAGTGAATTAGTTTGGGGAGGGAAGTTGTAAACTATCTATGAAATGTGATGGGAGGAGACCTCTCCCCTTGTAAAGCTGTTCCTTTTTGCCTTTCTCTCCCACCCCTGAGTCTTTACACCTATACTGATGCTGAAAACTGCACCATCACAGTCACTCCTTTGAGTTTTTCCCTTGGAAAGGCAATACTTTTAAGCTACTACTTCAGTGGCTTCCAATTTGCAGCACCATTGCAAATGCAAAAAGGGCTCATTGCAAATGCAAATTATTGGGCTTCACTCCAGAACCCAGAATCAGAAACCCTTGGGGCAGGGCTCAATTCTGATGGAGGCTAAAAACTGAGAAAAATTAGTCAAGTGTATAATGTACAAAAAGTTTGTGGATGATTTGGACACAATCTATGGT